GTAAGGTTTCTGTTTGACAGGTGTGTTATCTTTACAAGAGATCATATGTTTTACCGTAGTAGTGAACCCAATTCTATCTGTAATTACCTCTGGAAAGATACTGAGTAAGTTAATCAAGTCTGTTCTTTGATTGAGATCCAAAATTCCCGTTTTCAGTTCATCCAAAACGTTGTTTTCTAATTCTGCTCCCAAATCAAAGTGTTTGTCCTCTAACCATCCCAATCTAACTCTATTCTTAATGCCAAAAAATATTTCATTTGCTGTGTAATCTATCAACACACCGTATTTAACAAGGAAATCATGCCCTAGTATGATTTCCGGGATTAAATCCTTAATCACTTTTACTGGAATTTGAATATATTCTTGAGAACATTTGGCTTCAAGAAAAGTAAATCCTTCGATTTTGTAATTTATATCTTGTACTGCACCTTTGACAACAGTTACACCGTCTGGACAAACAGGTTTTAACAATTTAGCCACCGTCATGCCAATAAACGAATGTGATGCTTGAGTATCAAGGGCTGCAGTATAATATTTGTCACCAATCTGTAAACTAATTGCCGGACGGGGATTACCCACACTCTCACTAGAAATTTGACCAATATAAGTTTTTTCTGACTGGTAGTTTTGGGACTTAGAAACTTTTCTAGAACCATTCTCGTCCCTATTAGAACGGTTCTGGTCTAGTTTTCCGGACAACGGGCCTTCACATGCCCAGTTTGCCCACATTGATAACATTTAAAGGAGTTATCAGGGTTCGAAGTTCTGGTTTTTGAGGAATAAAAGCTTACCTCTTCGTCTAGCTTTGCTACTATGCTCCTGAGTTCGTCAAATGATTCTGGTTGAGCTACCTTAACTAGAGACCTAATCTTATCATGTAAAAGTTCTATAATATAAGTAACACTCTCGTCAATACTCCCACCATCATTCATTCTCTTAAACAACTGTAACTTTTGAATAACAAATGCCCCAGCTCTCATGCCACTAGGTTGAACATCCGTCAAGAATTTCTTAGTGATTAATGCTTTGACAGCCTCTGAATTAAATCTCTGCATAAACTCATGTTTGAATGTGTCCCATTCTAGACTTAGACCCTTAATGTTTTGCCACCAAGTACCTGCCGAACCCCTCAACTGTTGGCTCACAATCTGCAGATATATTTCTGACGGTATACACGTCCGTTTTAACAAAGACTCGCACGTAGCTAGGAACGCTGTGGGACATTCCTCCAACCTCCCATGAAATTCCGGTAGGCTGTCTTTGATAATTTTGGGATCTACAGTAGGCATGAATGATAGTTGGGATTCTGGATTATTCAAAGTAATTGTCTTTTCCTGTGAGGATATCTGTGTTCCAATAGCTTGCATTTTATTGTTAAATTTAGTTTCAATGTAATTAATTTTAGTTTCAATGTAATTAATTTTAGTTTCCAATTCATTTAATTTATCAGAGTTACCAACAAAATTTGTTTCTAATTTCGTAATTTTATCAATGGTTACGACAACATCTGACTCCAATGATTCGATTCTATTGTCTAATTTTGAATAGTTTTGAGAAATTTGTTCCATAAAAGATGACATATTACTATTAATATCTGCCGACTGTGTGTCAAGTTTCTCAGATTGGATATCTAGTTTCTCCGAAATTTTGGACAGTAGAATACTCACCGGGTCAGGTTGTGGTATTTGTTCTGCCAACTGGGTATTCCGTCCTACCCGTGATCGAAGCTCGTAGGCTTTGCTTCCTGCCCCCTTCTGCTCACCTTCTTCCAGGCCTTTCTCTAGCATTTCAGTTGTTAATTCTTCAACTCCTAATTTTGTCATTTCTAAATTAAAAGTCCTGTCACGGTCGCCAATTGATATCGTCACTATACTGTACGTGATTCAATTCCTTTGATATCACGGACAATTAATACCAAACATTAGAAATAACAAAATAAATTTTAACAAAAACTAGGTATCTTCTTTATTGTATTCAACAAAACAACATACTAAACTATTTTCTGTTTACAAAACAATTGAAAAACATATGACTGTTTATGTATTAATTATTAAACAGTCTTTTGGCAAACTTATATGAAATATATTGAGGGGTTTTCTTTATCAATGATTAATCATCGTACGTCACTGTATGGTGCAGAGGTGTGGGCAGACACGCTCAATAAGGAGGTGTATAGGATGCGGCTTGCCAGAGTGCAGCGTCAGGCAGCACTCAGGGTAGCATCCGCCTACCGAACAGTGTCTGAACCTGCCATCTTGGTGGTTGCTGAAGTAATCCCCGTCAAACTTTTGGCGGCGGAGAGGAAAGCGATTTATCAGCGGCGTGGAGAGGACCATGCAAAAATGGAGGAGCGCAACCGCACCTACCAGCTCTGGCAGGAGAGCTGGGAACAGGAGTCGCGGGGACGCTGGACCAGGAGACTGATTCAGCAAGTCCAACCATGGGTTGACCGACGGTATGGTGAGGTGTACTATTACCTTACCCAGTTTCTGACAGGTCGCGGGTTTTTTTGGTCGTACCTGTTCAGGATGGGCAAAGCCGTGTCACCCGATTGCATCTACTGCCCAGGCACTCCCAACGACACGGAGCACACCTTCTTCCGCTGCCAGCGTTGGGAAGGTTCCCGCCTGGAGGCTGAACAACATGTAGGGCAGTTGTTGGTGGACACGGTCATTCCGATGATGAAGGAGGGTGAGGACAATTGGACCTGTATGTCACATTTCGTCCAGGATATTCTCCGCACAAAGAAGCTAGAGCTTGACCGAGATGCAGTCTAGGTCATAAAGAAATTGAATGCCAGAAACGGCGCGAGCCCTGAGGGCTTAGGTCACACGTTGACCTGACCTGAAGTAATGTGACAAACAATCCCAGGTCTGTGTCCAACAGAGTAGAGGGGGTTTTTTAGTGAGTAGTCTGACAAGCTCAGGAGTCTCACACTACAGGCTGGCTACCTGTGTGCGTAAAAGCATTTTTACCTCCTCTCCCTTAAAAAAAAGTACAATA